CTTTAATTTGTGTTCCTGAGTATTATTGAGGGATTTAAAAGCTGATGATTCAAGGTGATGTCATTATTTTCCTGATTTAATATGAAATTTTATAAAAACTTACCAACAGTGATGGAAAAAAAATAAAAACATATAAAAAATACCTAAAATAAACTCAGAAAAATCAAAAATAGGCAAAAACAAACTATAATAAATACGACCGATATTCAGTTACTTATCTATCATTCTTCAAAAAGTGTGAAAATAAAAATAATTATAATAATATTCTGTCATTTATTGAACCATTTCTTTTTTATAGAAAATGGTTTAAATACATTCCTTAAATCAGGACACATAAAAACAAACACAGAAATAATTAACTAAAGATTCACTGACCAGATAATGTAAAAATCCTACTCTTAGTGCAAGGTCTGTTACTTTTCTACAGAAACATAGAATATTCGGCCCATCTAGTCTGCCCAATTTTCTAAATACTTTCATTAGTCCCTGGCCTTATCTTATAGTTAGGATAGCCTTATGCCTTTCCCACGCATGCTTAAACTCCTTTACTGTGTTAACCTCTACCACTTCAGCTGGAAGGCAATTCCATGCATCCACTACCCTCTCAGTAAAGCAATACTTCCTGATATCATTTTTAAGTCTATTTAAATCTACTTTAATTTGAGTGGGAATTACACAGAATTTAAAAAAAATAACTTTTTGAGAGTAAAATTTTTAAATTTTAGTATCACGATATCGGTGGCAGAGAAGGCGTTATAAAATAATGTTGAATGGACTATATTTTTGTTATTTTTTACACTTTGTGAAAAAGTTACGGCAGGCCACACCCATTATTGTTCACTATTCTATACTTTTGCAAGCGTGGCACTTGTCTGCTGTTTAATGCAGTGTACAATTCGTTGATGTTTGTTCACGATCCATTGATGATGGAATTTCTACGTACCCTCACCCCCTGAATTTAAATATTGTTACGGTTTTCTGCCTTGGCATTTTTGCTGTTGTCATTGTTTTACAATTCATGGACACGCTGTAATTTAGGCAGGATGGAAGCCTTTCATTATCTGACCCCAACAATTAGAGACGTGCTATTCAATGCTACCTGAGCCATTGTCCCGAGAGACCTAAGGAGCTGACATCTAACGTCTCACTTAAAGTCTTAGTAAATAAGAATTCCACGATCAGTGAAATGTATGTCAGGACAGGAGCTGCAGAGACGGAAACAGTACAAGTCTGTCTCCCCAGCTCTTCTACCGCTACATCTCTATAAGGAGAGGGATCAGAATTAATGTGAGAGCAGCTCCCACTAATCCCAGGCGACGTAGACGTGCATATGCCAATGATACCATAAGATTACAGGGGTCCTAAATCTAGCAATAACCCTAACCCAAACAATAACCTTAAAAAATTACGCACCATGAAAGATACTGAACAATTACTACTGTATTAGGGAAACATGTCACCCCGTTGATGGTATTATATTCTTATAATTCACGGTTCGCAGTTATGTCTAACTTTTTGAAATAGTTTTATCACAGATAATGAAGATTAGGACCTGTTTATGAAACCTGTGACCGGCATGTGACCCTGCCTCCCTCACGTGGAGGAGAACAGCTGGGGGTCAGGAGGGCTTGAGCTACTGCCATAGTCATTCTCAAAAATCATTTCTCCTGCCACAAAGTATCCGAGTTCTTGGGCATCCTGACACTAGGAGGGGCGTCGTGACCCTGTGAGGGCCATGCTACTGTGAATAGCCACAGTGTTTGTACTGAGATAAGGTCACACAAGGTTAATATAGTCTTACCATATGTACGAATACTCCTTGTGCTTCATCCAAAGTGCCTCAACCAAAGGGTACAAAGAGTTTTATGTTTTATTTTTTTCTAAATATTTGTTCCTAGGTATTGGAGCTTTATGATGGACACAAATTATACACGTTGTGTTAAAAAACAAAGTGAGCATTGTAAAATCGTGCGCAGGAAGAGATTGAATAGTACGGCATTACCCAAAGTACCTGGCAATTAAAGAACAATCAGCAGAGGGGGTCAGTACTGTCACTGAGTGATGGTATTACGGCGACCTTACATACCACCAGATAAAAAAAACATGATGTTTAACTAACACATAATAAAATTATCTCAGTGCTGAGATCAGACATACGTGAGCAATAACGCATGCACAGTGTGAAACATGTAAAATTGGCCCAAGCTTAGTCCATTCTAAATTTCACTTTTGATAGCTGATAAACAGCACAACCAACTGAGTGGTGACATTATTGCAGGTGACATTGACTGTAGGTGACATTGACTGTAGGGGACATTGGCTGCAGGTGACATTGGCTGTAGGGAACATTGGCTGCAGGTGACATTGACTGTAGGTGACATTGACTGTAGGGGACATTGGCTGCAGGTGACATTGGCTGTAGGGAACATTGGCTGCAGGTGACATTGACTGTAGGTGACATTGACTGTAGGGGACATTGGCTGCAGGTGACATTGGCTGTAGGCAACGTTGGCTGTAGGTGACATTGATCATAAGTGGTCATATGTAACATTGGCCACAGGTGACATTGGCTGTAGGTGACATTGACCATAGGTGACATTGGTTGTAGGTGACATTGTCTGCAGGTGACACTGGTCATATGTGACACTGGCCACAGGTGACATTGATCATAAGTGACATTGGCTGTAGAGGACATTGGCTGTATGAGACATTGGTCATATGTAACATTGGCCGTAGGTGACATTGGCTGTAGGGGATATTGGTCATACATAACATTGGCTATAGGTGACACTGGCCACACATACAATTGGCCATGGGTGACATTGGCTGTAGTGACACTGGCCATACATAACATTGGCTAAAAGTCATACATAACATTGGCTAAAAGTGACACTGGCCATACAAAACACTGGCAGTAGGTGACATTGGCCGTAGGTGACATTGGCTGTAGGGGATATTGGGTATAGGTGACACTGGCCATACATAACATTGGCCATAGGTGACTATGGCTGTAGGGGACATTGGTGATGGGGGACATTGTCTTTATCCCAGAATCTACCGTAGTGCTACCTTGCCCAGAAAAAAAAGAATTTTGAGAGGCAGGTATGTGGTTATATTTTATCTACCTGCGTAATGTAATGTATAAAACACTGATGTAAGAAGAAAGGATTGAAGACCAGTCTGTGTACAACACCAGGTCCTTCTGACACAGCAGGATGTGATTGTCTTCTACCAGGTGGGTGTGATTCACACATGCTGGAATATCTTTCCCCCAGCAGTAATTAGAGAATCCCTGGGACAGGTAGCTCCAGATACAGTAACAGTTCTCTCAGTGATGTGCTAAGTGACATGGCTTCTTTCAAGACGTCACACTTCAACAGGCAGACAGTAAAATCACTTGCTAATAAGAACCATTAAGTGGCTCTCACCTGGAAGGATGAATCGGTTTACTGCTGGCACCACACAACCAGGAAAACTAAATGAACATTTTTACACGAATAAAGCTGATTTTTTTTCACTCTGTGATTTGCTTCTTCTTGCTCTAACCTTTCCTAGCAGCCAGTGTAGCCTATCATGTCACATTTAGACACCAGTCTCGCACCTAACGTGTGTCAGAGCCTGGAGTGTCCCTTTAATAATATAAACCCACCCAGTATAACTAACTGTAACCTAACTTACACAGTGCACCTAACGTGTGTGGGAGCCTGGAGTGTCCTATTAATAATATAAACTCACCCAGTATAACTGTAACCTAACCTACACAGTGCACCTAACGTGTGTGGGAGCCTGGAGTGTCCCTTTAATAATATAAACCCACCCAGTATAACTAACTGTAACCTAACATACACAGTGCACCTAACGTGTGTGGGAGCCTGGAGTGTCCCTTTAATAATATAAACCCACTCAGTATAACTAACTGTAACCTAACCTACACAGTGCAACGTGTGTGGGAGCCTGGAGTGTCCCTTTAATAATATAAACCCACCCAGTATAACTAACTGTAACCTAACATACACAGTGCACCTAACATGTGGGAGCCTGGAGTGTTCTTAAAGGACCACTTCAGCTTAATGAAGTGGTCTGGGTGCCTGGTCTAGGGTTAACCTATTTTTAGAAACATAGCAGTTTCAGAGAAACTGGTGTTTATGAATGGGTTAAGCCTTCTATTTCTAGTGGTCTCCATTGACAGTCGCTAGAGGCGCTATGCGTTTCTCACTGTGATTTTCACAGTGAGAGCACGCCAGCGTCCACAGGAAAGCATTATGAATGCTTTCCTATGTGACCGGCTGAATGCGCGCGCAGCTCTTGCCGCACGTGCGCATTCAGCCGACGGGGAGGAGAAGAGGAGGATCGGAGGAGGAGAGCTCTCCGCCCAGTGCTGGAAAAAGGTAAGTTTTAACCCCTTTCCCCCTTCCGGAGCCGGGCGGGAGGGGGACCCTGAGGGTGGGGGCACCCTCAGGGCACTATAGTGGTCCTTTAATAATATATACCCACCCAGTATAACTAACTGTAACCTAACCTACACAGTGCAGCTAACGTGTGTGGGAGCCTGGAGTGTCCCTTTAAAAATATAAACCCACCCAGTATAACTGTAACCTAACCTACACAGTGCATCTAACGTGTGTGGGAGCCTGGAGTGTCCCTTTAATAATATAAACCCACCCAGTATAACTAACTGTAATTAACCTACACTGTGCATCTAACGTGTGTCAGAGCCTGGAGTGTCCCTTTAATAATATAAACCCACCAAGTATAACTAACTGTAACCTAACCTACACAGTGCACCTAACGTGTGTCAGAGCCTGGAGTGTCCCTTTAATAATATAAACCCACCCAGTATAACTAACTGTAGCCTAACGTACACAGTGCATCTAACGTGTGTCAGAGCCTGTAGTGTCCCTTTAATAATATAAACCCACCCAGTATAACTAACTGTAACCTAACCTACACAGGGCTCCGAACGTGTGTGGGAGCCTGGAGTGTCCCTTTAATAATATAAACCCACCCAGTATAACTAACTGTAACCTAACCTACACAGTGCACCCAACGTGTGTGGGAGCCTGGAGTGTCCCTTTAATAATATAAACCCACCCAGTATAACTAACTGTAACCTAACCTACACAGTGCACCTAACGTGTGTGGGAGCCTGGAGTGTCCCTTTAATAATATAAACCCACCCAGTATAACTAACTGTAACCTAACCCACACAGTGCATCTAACGTGTGTGGGAGCCTGGAGTGTCCCTTTAATAATATAAACCCACCCAGTATAACTAACTGTAACCCAACCTACACAGTGCATCTAACGTGTGTGGGAGCCTGGAGTGTCCCTTTAATAATATAAACCCACCCGGTATAACTAACTGTAACCTAACCTACACAGTGCATCTAACGTGTGTGGGAGCCTGGAGTGTCCTATTAATAATATAAACTCACCCAGTATAACTGTAACCTAACCTACACAGTGCACCTAATGTGTGTGGGAGCCTGGAAGGTCCCTTTAATAATATAAACCCACCCAGTATAACTAACTGTAACATAACCTACACAGTGCATCTAACGTGTGTGGGAGCCTGGAGTGTCCCTTTAATAATATAAACCCACCCAGTATAACTGTAACCGAACCTACACAGTGCATCTAACGTGTCTGGGAGCCTGGAGTGTCCCTTTAATAATATAAACCCAACCAGTATAACTAACTGTAACCTAACCTACACAGTGCATCTAACGTGTGTGGGAGCCTGGAGTGTCCCTTTAATAATATAAACCCACCCAGTATAACTAACTGTAACCTAACCTACACAGTGCACCTAACGTGTGTGGGAGCCTGGAGTGTCCCTTTAATAATATAAACCCACCCAGTATAACTGTAGCCTAACCTACACAGTGCACCTAACGTGTTTGAGAGCCTGGAGTGTCCCTTTAATAATATAAACCCACCCAGTATAACTTACTGTAACCTAACCTACACAGTGCACCTAACGTGTGTGGGAGCCTGGAGTGTCCCTTTAATAATATAAACCCACCCAGTATAACTGTAACCTACCAGTGCAACTAACGTGGTGTGGGGTTTCCGATCCCTTTAATAATATAAACCCACCCAGTATAACTGTAACCTAACCTACACAGTGCACCTTAACGGTGTGGGAGCCTGGAGTATCCACAATATAAACCCACCCAGTATAACTGTAGCCTAACCCTACACAGTGCAATCTAACGTGTGGGAGCCTGGAGTGTCCCTTTCATAATATAAACCTACCCAGTATAACTAACTGTAATTCAACCTACACAGTGCACCTAACGTGTGGGGGCCTGAGCCCATTTAATAATATAAACCCACCCGGTATAACTAACTGTAACCTAACCTACACAGTGCAGCTAACGTGTGTGGGAGCCTGGAGTGTCCCCTTAATAATATAAACCCACCCAGTATAACTAACTGTAACCTAACCTACACAGTGCATCTAACGTGTGTGGGAGCCTGGAGTGTCCCTTTAATAATAGAAACCCACCCAGTATAACTAACTGTAACCTAACCTACACAGTGCATCTAACGTGTGTGGGAGCCTGGAGTGTCCCTTTAATAATATAAACCCACCCAGTATAACTAACTGTAACCTAACCTACACAGTGCATCTAACGTGTGTGGGAGCCTGGAGTGTCCCTTTAATAATATAAACCCACCCAGTATAACCAACTGTAATCTAACCTACACAGTGCATCTAATGTGTGTGGGAGCCTGGAGTGTCCCTTTAATAATATAAACCGACCCAGTATAACTAACTGTAACCTAACCTACAGAATGCATCTAACGTGTGTGGGAGCCTGGAGTGTCCCTTTAATAATATAAACCCACCCAGTATAACTAATTGTAACCTAACCTACACAGTGTTTCTAACATGTGTGGGAGCCTGGAGTGTCCCTTTAATAATATAAACCCACCCAGTATAACTAACTGTAACCTACCTACACAGTGCATCTAACATGTGTGGGAGCCTGGAGTGTCCCTCTAATAATATAAACCCACCCAGTATAACTAACTGTAACCTAACCTACACAGTGCATTTAACGTGTAGGTTATCAGTAGGCGGTTTTACTGCATCCTTACTTTCTGGTTTCTTAGCCATGAAGGCACCCCTTTTCTGATTAACTGTTTTCTATTCCCCAAATTCTGCTAGTCTTTGTGTAATCTCAGAAATCTGACCTTTTTTTTGCCATTTGTAATTCCCAGATTTTACTATTAACATGATTTAAAGTCATGATTTTATTAATGACACGGAGGCGAGTATTATGCACTCTCTTTCCTTTTATTTTCCCTCAGCAGCAAAGATTGAGAAAAAGTATATATTTAACTTAAATGTATATGAACAAATACAACAAATCTGCCCAAGAACAAGGCAGCCAATCATGATTCAGGACAGTCTATAAAGGTCTGAACTAGCGGTAATCTTTCTCTTCTTGGCACCTAATGCCGGAGACCAGAATCCCATCCAAAATTTGAAAACCATGCGTCACTGTCAACGTGGGTTCTTCCATCTCCCAAAAATTAAGCTGTGTAGAGAAAATGGTTAAAGATGAGCGAACCCGAACTGTAAAGTTCGGGTTCGTACCGAACATTACAATTTTTGACCCCGAACCCGGATATTTCAGTAACAGTTTGGGTTCGAGTTCGGGGTTTGGCGATTTAATGGCACGTTTTGAAAAGCTGCAGGGCAGCCAATCAACAAGCGTTTGACTCGTGTGCCTTTAGAAGCCATCACAGCCATGCCTACTAATGGCATGGCTGTGATTGGCCAGTGCAGCATGTGACCCAGCCTCTATATAAGTTGGAGTCAGATGAGCTCTTATTAGTGTAGGGAGAGGATGCTGTGAGGGACAGATTAGGAAAGAATTCTGGTGTTGAATCTGCAAACTACAGTGATTATTTTTGTGGGTGCTATACTACATTTTTGTACCCTGCCCTGAGCCCAGTGCCACAGAGAAATAAGCAATCAGTCTGTTTGTTAGGTGGGCACTTGCAACTGCATGTGTGCCAGGCACATTACTTTAATCCTGTTCGGGTAGCTCAGTGGGCAACATCTAGGCATTTTTAAATACCGCTGTGACATTGCAGTTTCACAAATTCAAATTTTTTTACATTTGTGACGTGCACTTCATATCTGAGACTCAAATAGAACCGTCAAATACTGTGGTTACATTGCACTTTAAAAAATTCAAATTTTTCGGGTGCTAAAAAGTAAATTTGAGGCGTGCACTTCATATCTGAGAGTCAAATAGAACCGTCGAATACTGTGGTTACATCGCACTTTAAAAAATTCAAATTTTTCGGGTGCTAAAAAGTAAATTTGGGGCGTGCACTTCATATCAGAGAGTCAAATAGAACCGTCGTCGTCAGGACGTGATGACGTGAATCGGAACGTCTCCGTGCCGTAAGGGGGAGGGAGTAACTGGAGGCGACCCGCATGGTGAACTAACAGCTAATGAGCGGCGATCCCACGCTAAGATCAAAGCTGCAACAAATGAAAGAAAACCAGAGGCTATTTGGATTTCTTGTACCCGAGACTCCTCTACTCCCCCTATCTAAAGACACTTGCTTATGTTTCTTTCCTCCTACAATTCTCGTTTGGGATACCCGCGAAAACCAAATTGCCTGTCATGGCGAAGGGGTGGCTAGCATTAGCAGCTGGACACCCGGTGTGGACTTACAAGCTGTCCCCGTGTATGCTGTCCTCCTGACGCTGGTTGATACCGAGCAAAAAGCATAAGAATCCGCCATAAAGGTATTTAAAATAAATATATTACTTGAAATAATAAAGGAGCAGGAGGAGCAGGAGGAAGAGCAGAGGAAAAAGATCAGGAGGGAGTGTGAAGTTAAAGAAGGAGTGAAAAGAAATAAGAGAAGAACAGATTAAATGTATTAATTTATAAAGGAGGGGAAAGAAGAGGGGGAGAAAGAGGAAGGAAAAGAAAGGAGGGAAGGAGTAAGGATATATCACTGAAACGGAACATAAAGAGCAAGAGCGGAGGGATACGATTTTTGTTTCATTGCTCCCCTTGGATATATTTTTTTTAATATCTGAATAATCCCCATCATATCTGCTCTTCATATAAATCTCATAATACAGAGAGCAAGTTTGTAAAGGGAAGAGAGAGACGAATTCCTGGTGCAATGAAGCTAAGGAACCTGAAAGTTTAAAGATAAAGGAGAACCATAAATGTAAACTAAAGAAATACGGTAAAAAGAGAAATTAAAGCATTCAAACTGTATAAAGGGCTCCAAACCAAACTAAAGACAAGAGAGGTCCCTCTCTCCTTTCTAAATGGCATCTAAACGATTACAAGAATCTAAGGTCGCACAAAAAACGGAAAAAAAATCCGCTAAGCAAGAAAAGAGACTCCCCACCTTTTTCTCCCCCCAAAAGACGCAAGATCCTATCGATGAGTCATTGTTAGACTCCTCATTCCTCAACAGCAATGGCACCCCCTCCAGTGGAATCAACTGGTATTACAATAGACGTAATAAAAACCCTCTTTGATGATACTTTGAAAGAAATAAAAAAAGAGATTCAAGAAAACTCTATTGACCTCAAAAATGATATCTCCAGGTACAACCCGAAATTAAACAATTGAGGATAAGGAACAACATACAGAATTCCAGATTCAAATTCTTAAAGATACATACAAAGAAACAGAAAGGAAAATAATCCAACTTGAGACTAAGAGAGCCGATTTCGAAGATAGAGCTCGAAGAACAAATTTAAAATTTAGAAATATTCCTGAAACCATTACAAATGATAAACGGAGAGATTTTCTAAATGAGCTTTTTATTTCGCTTAACTTGTCATTAGATTCTCATGAATTAAAAGTGGATCGATGTCATAGAGTTTTTAAACCAACTAATGTTAAAAACAACTTTCCAAGAGTCGTAATAGTCTCTTTCCACTCATTTCAAACTAAAAATCAAATGATGTTAGCACTAAAGAAGAATAGATCGGCAGAAGAAAAATTAAAAGAAATATTTGCCCTTCCAGATATCTCATACTTCACAAGAGCTAAAAGAAGAGAGTTTTCACCAATATTTCAAATTTTAAATACACATAATTTAAAGGACCACTATAGTGCCAGGAAAACATACTCATTTTCATGGCACTATAGTGCCCTGAGGGTGCCCCCACCCTCAGGGTCCCCCTCCCGCCCGGCTCTGGAAAGGAGAAAAGGGGTTAAACGTACCTTTTTCCAGCTCTGGGTGGGGAGCTCTCCTCCGATCCTCCTCTTCTCCTCCCCGTCTGCTGAATGCACATGCACGGCAAGAGCTGCGCGCGCATTCAGCCGGTCACATAGGAAAGCATTCATAATGCTTTCCTATGGACGCTTGCGTGCTCTCACTGTGAAAATCACAGTGAGAAGCACGCAAGTGCCTCTAGTGGCTGTCAACAGACAGCCACTAGAGGCTAGGGAAGGCTTAACCCATTCATAAACATAGCAGTTTCTCTGAAACTGCTATGTTTATGAAAAAATGGGTTAACCCCAGCTGGACCTGGCACCCAGACCACTTGATTAAGCTGAAGTGGTCTGGGTGCCTAGAGTGGTCCTTTAAGATTCAGATGGAGACACCCAGCCTCACTTCAGATTTTTTACCACAATGAATGGGTCACATTTTCAACTCTTGAAACGGCTAACGAATAGCTGACACAATCTAGTCGCAATTAAAAAATGGGTCATTGGAGATAAGAGGAAAAGAGAATTATAAATGTGTGTGTTTATTTTTATTTTTTTTAAAGTTTATAAAGAAGAGATCACAAAATGGACATAAACTACGATCTATAACGAAGATCCAACGCAGGAGTGAAGATAAGAGAAAACAAGATGATGAATGAAAGATAGAAGTAGAAAAAAGTCCTTGAAAGAAAAGATAATTTTTTATTTTTTTTTCTCTGAATGGTACTATCTTTAAAATGAGAGAATCATAAAGTGTAAAAAGGGGAACTAAGAAATGGAACAAATTCAATGTAAACATCATTTTTTTTTCTTAAGATTCATGTTTAAAACTATTGTAATGTTTAAATATGATTATTTGTATATTTCACAGAATGTTACGATACAGCCTCTGGAATAGGCTGAATGTATGGTTTATGAATGAATTCTCCTGGACACATTTAACGTAGGTTTAAGACTGGAAAAGAATAAATAATAAATTTAAAGTAATAAAAATAGAGATATTAAGAAACACAAAAGGGTGATTAGAAAGGGAAAAAGGATAATTAACAATCACGTTTTAATATAAAATTCACATAAAAATGTTATCATATTTATGGTATAACTTACAGAGATCACAGACATATTGTTAATAAATTAAATTGGAATTACACTTTATATAAATATTTAATACACAACATTTTAATCACAATTTTGGTTCACTAAGTATAACACTGTCAAAATAAAAAGATTGTTATATATATATAAACCTTTTTTTTCTCTCTCTATTTCTTATCTCTCTATCCAGATAGTCTCCCTCCCTGCGGGTATCTAAACGATACTTTGATGTTGAAGTCATGTTGTACTCCAATTTGTAAATGTTGCACTATTTGCAACATTTCCTTCTGTAAGATGTTTTTTAACATATTAAAATATTTCGTGTTTTGTTATAAATGTGGTGGTACGGTGATTTGGTTTGGTACGATAAGGATAATAAAGATTGTTATAGCACAAAATAGAGGAAAAGGGAAGGAAAATGAGGGAAAATTAATGATTCGAAATGTTAAAATTCTTATCAGTTAATGTCCAAGGACTTAACTCCCCAAATAAAAGAGCTTATTTATATAATACTCTACTTAAAGAAAAAGCCCAAATATCGTTTATTCAGGAAACCCGTTGGAAGAAACAAAGCAAACAGCATTGGAACGTTAATAAGTTCCCTATTGTAGCTGAAGCATCGGATCAAACAAAAAAGAAGAAAGGAGTAGCAATAATGTTTTCTAACTCGATGAATTACTCTTGTGATTATATTGAAAGTGATTTAGAAGGGAGATTTATTATCTGGATTGGAGATTAATGAAACTCAATATACTTTACTAAATGTCTATCTTCCTAATAAGGCACTGTCATGCCAAAAGCATGAGTTGGTGTTGGATGTGTGTTGAGATATGTTAAGAGTTGTTTTTTTGTAAACCTTGGGATGACGTTTATTGTGGTCTTTGATCTTGCACCCGGCTTAGACCATAAAACATCTAGATACCCATCACCAGAGCTGGACACAAGGAATTTCATAGAGTGGGCAATAGACTGCCAGACCAACCCCCTCTGATCCCCCCACGGGTCTGCCCACTGAGAAACAACTAGTTTAGATATATGAGGGTGTTGGACTATCCAGGGAAGTCAGTTATTCATTTTTCTTTTGTCAGTAACTTCTAGGAGACCTATACCATCTAAGACTCCCACCAGAATTCTATATGGGGTAACTACATGTAAGGAATTTCTTGTGTTTTCTCCTATTTTATTTTATGTACTGTTTTGCACTTTGTTATCTGTATGTCATTTATTTCTGTATTTTGTACTCAGCACTGTGAATCCTTTTTGTCAGATTAAATGTTTACTTAATCAGCTTGTGTCTGTTCTCTATGAGCTTCACTCTCCAGAGGAAAGCTCAGGTAAACACGTTACCAAAAAGGGTTAACTATATGTGTTTTATCAGTAAAAGTAGAACGGTGATACTATAACTCTCCTGTGTGTGGGGTAACCTAAGACGCCCGGGTTTAAAAGTCTTGGTGGTGGCAGTAAAGTGTGTACTAAGGGGTTAGTGTAGAAGGGATTGCAGGGGTTAATTGAGTGGTTGCTGGGACTAGCAACAGGTAACCAGGGGTTTGGTGTCATTAACCCTGTCACTTCCACACTCTCCCCACGGTCTCGGCTGGGCCTATAGCCCACGCTCGTTACAGGCCCCTATTAAATATCTCTCAAAAATAATGAGTAGCATAGAAACAAATGTGTTAGGGCAATTCCGAGCTAATTAAAAAGGTACAATCCGTTAAAATAGAGATTAATACATGATCAGACCATGAATTTCTCATATTAGAAATTAAAGAAAATGAGAAAAAACATTTTTCACCATGGAGACTTAACGACTCTTTATTAGCAACTAAAAAAAACAAAGAATATATAAAAAATCTCTCTGAACTATTTTTTGCTGAAAAACTCCCTGATCATACATCCAACCAAAATTTATGGTGCACATACAAAGCAGTTACCAGGGGGTTCTTGATAAAACTCGCAAGCTATAAAAAAAAGAGGGGGGGCTCCGATACCAGAACTTTATCTACAATTATACAAACTACAAGCTCAGAATAATGAGAAATTATCTCAAGATATAACAGTTTTCATTAAAAAATATAAAAATATGATTTAAAGAATCTTAAAAGAACTGAATTTAATTTAAAACGATTAAAAACTAAATATTACTATCGGAATAATAAAATAGATAAAATATTAACTAATCGACTTAAAAAAAACAAAATAGAGAATAAATTATATAAAATTATTGAAGACGGAAAAGTCTTATTGACTCCTGAAGATATAGGGAACTCATTTAAGAAGTATTGTGAGAGTCTTTATTATCTAGACCACAGATCAGGTTATTGACAAATATTTACATAAAATAAAAATTCCCCAAATCACTTTAATTCAAAAAGAGAAGTTAAACCAAAAAATATTGCAGTTGGAAGTAGAAGAAAGTATAAATAATTTACAAACCTCAAAGGCTCCTGGTCCAGATGGTTTCTCTAATTTGTTTTTTAAAACATTCAAGGAAATTGTTATCCCCAATATGACAGCTACATTTAATGAAATTGCCTCAACAAGCAAAATAGCACGAGAACTATTAAGAGCCAATATAAAGCCTATTTTGAAACCCAACATATTATCAACAGAAATTACCAACTACAGACCAATTTCTTTAATAAATATAGACATCAAATTATATGCTTCAGTGCTGGCTCGAAGATTAAATTTATTACTTCCCGAATTGATACATATAGACCAAATCGGGTTTGTGAAAGGCCGTCACTCTAGTGATAATTCTCATAGGATCATTGATTTATTTGAGTGTGCACAAATGACAGGGATGCCCCTACTAACCCTGTCGATTGATGCAGAAAAGGCCTTCGACAGGGACAGTTGGGGATATATGACCAAAGTTTTGACAGCATTTGGGTTAGAAGGATGGGTTACAGATGCAATTGGAGCTCTCTACACGTGTCCATCAGCTAGAATAGTAGTGTAACGGACCGGTTTGCACACAAGGGGTAAAAACCGTTTAGGCGATCAGCCCCCTTTCCAGAGATACAGGCACAGCTACTGCAGAACATCAAACTCCCAAACTGGATACAAAATAGCACTCCAACTCCCGAACTGGAACCTCCCAAATAGCTGCTAGCAGACGAACAGGAAAAGCAGACAATCCGCTTACACTCCTGGCAATCAATCTCTAACAGCATACAGTGAATCCCCCCAAGAACGAGACAAGGCTCCGTGTTGAGGGTCAAGCAGTGGTCTGAGGTGCTGGCACACCCAGCCTGGTTTTATTACAGTCTTGCAAATACAGGACCGCCCACAGGGAGGTATAAAACAACCAATCACATCACAGTTACATCCCACATATTCCCTCCCCTTATCCTGAGAGGAAACTCAATTACACATACAGTTAAAACATACTTTCTACCCAACTTTCATAACTCTCAAACCATACAGCACATTCACATAAAATTACATATGCACAATCAATCCATTCAGGGGAACAACATATTCAAAAATGGCACAAATCAGACAAGGGGTTCAAAAGTTAGTAAAAAGTCCTTTGTGACTAAATGAAGCATAGCTTTCTGGCCCAAACCAGTTTCAGAGTCTTCTATCCTGGAGATAAGTAATTCAATTATCTCCCAGGACAGACACAAGACTCCATTAAGCACATGGTTGCAAAAAGACACAAAACACTTTAAAATACATAAAGTCACATTTATTACATAAAACACAGACATGTAACATATCCCCAGATAGCTCAGGTCTGAGCGCACATTATTAAGTGAATGGCGCTCACACCACACGAATACAGTTTAATCGCCATGGAGCCAAAGTCTTTACAGTCAGTTTCATACAAATGGGCTCCATGGGATTCCTATCTGGGGTATAACACATTCAAACAAATCTACTGAACCCCAGGCAGAAAAGCACGAATACAGCTTTTCAGCAGGCAAAAATAAAAGTCTTTTAAAAGGGGGCCATAGTCCAAAGGCAGCAGGCGAGCAACCAGGCTTCTCCAATGCAATGTGGCGAGATTGGTCTCGTCACATCTCTCCCCTTTTCCAAACAGACTAACAGGGTATCTGACCTCCTGCGGGTCAGTGCCCTTGTTAGTCCAGCAGCCCACCCACAACAAATAATCAACAGCACAGCCCACCCACAATAAATGGTTACTACACCTGGGTAAAGGAGAAGCTTGTCCATGTCCAGGTGCCTCACCACGGCTGTGCTGGGTACAGGTACGCTGACTTGGTGGGTTGCTGCGTGGGCAGAGACCAGCGGCACTCTGCCCTGTTGCCAGCGCTACTGGGAGGGTAGCCTGGTGGAAACCTGGTTGTTGGAGGGGGAGACCGACTGTCTCCCCTTTAAATACACCGCTCTGCTGCTGCTGCTGGAGACTGACTGTCTCCCCTTTAGATGCACAGTCCTGCTGCTGGAGACCGACCGTCTCCCCTTTGGTTACCCATCTCTGCTGCTGGAGGGAGAGACCGACTGTCTCCCCTTTGGCTAAACAGCCCTGTCGCTGGGGGGCAGGACCGACCGTCCCTACCCCCTGTGCTGGCAGTGTAGAGACTACGGTCCCATCTGCACGGTTGTGGGGCTTACTGTCTCCCCCTGGTACATTAAGCTGCAGCTGGGGAGAGGGGGTAACAAGCTCCTCTCCCATACATACTTCCAGCTGCGGGGGAGAGAGACCGACTGTCTCTGCTCCCAATACAGAGTCCTGCTGCTGGGGAAAGGAGACTGGGCTCTCTATTCCCGGTAGGACACTCTGCCGCTGGGGAATGGAGACGGGGCTCCCAATTCCCAATGATCTGTGCTGCCGCTGGGGAATGGAGACTGGGCTCCCAATTCCCAAAGCATCATACTGCCGCTGGGGAATGGAGACTAGGCTCCCAATTCCCAAAAAATCACGCTGCCGCTGGGGAGGGAGGACACTGCTCTCCTCTCCCTGGACTTCCCACTGCCTTCCCGGCATATCACTTGGCTGCTGGGGGGCAGGAACAACTACCTCTGCCCCCTGTAACTCAGCCTGCCGCTGGGGAATGGAGCTTGGGCTCCCAATTCCCTGCAATATCTCCCGCTGGGGAATGGAGCTCGGGCTCCCAATTGCCTGCAATACCGGTGGAGAGACCTCGGTCCCCTCTCCACCTGCCGCCTGGGGTTCCTCCCAGTAAATTTCAACAATATCTTCCCAGCTGAATGGGTCTGAGACTGGATCTGTCACTCTGCTGTCCTGCGGAGCCTTCCCAATGGAGTGGAAGAGATCTCGATAGTCCTGCTCCAGTTCCCACTCCAGGGTTGCTAGGTGAGCCAGGTCTTGCTCTACCTCATGGGGGTCATCCCAGTCATGCCTAGCCTCCCTCTCGTAGAAAATTTCCTGAAGTCTGTTCTGTGCAGGGCTCCCGAAGTCAGGCTCTGCAAAGGACTCCCATAACAAGCCAGGACCATCAAACTCCTCTCCCTCTGGCTTGTCATGCTCAGCTGTCCAGGGTATATACTGTGCCATATACCACCAGAGCGCCTGGTAGGCATCCTCCAGCCATAGCTCCTGCCACACCCGATGCTCTAGTTCCTTCACCCATTCCTCCAGGGGCTGCTCTCCCAGGAAGGGCATCCGCAGGGCCACTTGCTTCTGCAACCGCTGCTCTTCACTGGGGAGACTCTCACCCCGCTGGTATTGTACATTATCCAGGGCCTGGTACCAGATGCCTTTCCTTAATGCATCCCG